GTCGCGGTGGTTGGAAGTCCTCCAGGACTATCAGTTCACGACTACGTACCGTAAAGGGTTGCGACACACGAATGCCGATGCCCTGTCGCGGTTGTTGCCTTGTCACAAATGTGCGTGCTTATCGGGATCGGCGCGCTGTAAACCTCCGGTTACGGAAGGTAGGGAGGCGTTGGTTGCGACCGCGAGCACACCAATTGGGGATGGTCCCGCTACCCCAGGGGGTCAGGACTCGCTGCTCTCACTGTCGTTGATTGAGTGGGGCCGTCTCCAAATGGCGGACAGCTCCCTGCTGGCATTGCGCCGAAAGACGGAGGGTTCCGAAGGTAGCCACGACCGAACTGGCTCCTACGAGCTTAAGCAGGGCCTGTTGATGAGATGGGACAGTTTGTCCCGGCGGCATGCGATTGTGGTGCCTTCTGCTGTGAGGGGGAAGGTTGTCTTGGCCGCACACGAACGCCTCTTGCATTTGGGAGTTAACAAAACGCTTGCCCTGCTTCAGCGTGACTATTATTGGCCGGGAATGGGGGGTGACGTGGTGAATATTCTGAAGGGTTGTGTTGAGTGCGCCAGACGGAAACCACCGCCCGTGGCAGCTAATCCACCGCTGCAATCTATTCAGGTCTCGCGCACTAACGAGCTCGTTGCACTCGATATTCTGGGGCCCTTTCCGGTCACGCCTAGGGGTAATAAGTACCTGTTGGTGGGGGTCGAATATTTTACCCGGTGGCCTATGGCGTGGCCACTCGCCAACCAGTCGGCGGCGGCTGTGACGGACGCCTTTGTCCAGGGCTACGTCCTGGACAAGGGGGCTCCCGAACGCTTGCTGACTGACCAAGGGAAAAATTTTTCGAGTAAATTACTGCAGGAGGTGTGCGACCTGTTGGGTACCAAAAAGGTGCGTACCTCCCCGTACCACCCGCAGACGGACGGGATGGTGGAGAGGCTTAACAGGACATTGACCTCTATGCTGTGCCAGCAGGTGTGTGAGTCGCATGTTGATTGGGACCTGCAGGTCCCTGGGGTCCTTGCCGCGTATAGAATGGCCCCCCATGCAGCTACGGGGTTTTCCCCGTTTTTTCTAATGTACGGTCGGGAAGCCGACCCGCCCATGGAAACGCAGCTGGGTCTGCCCGCACCACGAACTAATTCTAAATTGGCAGAGCATATTAAATTTAATATTCATAAACTGACAGAGGCAAGGGAGGCCACACGGCTTAATTCGCGGGCTCGCCAAATTGCGAACGAGCGGTTGCGGGCACGGAAGGTGTCCGTGCACAATTGGGAACCAGGTGACAAGGCCTGGCTGCATTGCCCTCAGGCACCTTTGGCCACGTCGCCTAAATTGTTGAAGCCGTGGCGGGGACCCGTGGAGGTCGTGCGGGTGGCACGCCCCCAGTGCGTTCAGATAAAATGGGGGAAACGCCGTTGGTACGTCCACCCCTCCCGACTGAAACCGTTCTCGCCTCCGTATGGCCTCCCCTTGTGTCGTGAGGGCCGAGCATGTGACGTGACCGACGACCCTGAGGGGGAATTGTCCTTGCCTGCTCCTCACATGTCTCCGCCTGATCCGCTCCCAGGTGTCTCGGAACTGACTGCTGCCGACCACCGGCGGCCGGATCTTCACGGCGGGGCCGGTCCTTCCAGGCCCGACCCGTGCCGTCTAGAGCTGCCGGAGACACCGGACGGTCGCCAACGTCCCGTTCCATACGACGGACCGGCCAGACGGACTCGCGCTAGGTCGCGCTACTTTGTGTAACCTACCACGTGCGGAGTCGAGGCAGCCGGAGCGCCTCGGCACTGCGTGGGTCACAGTGACACTTGGCGCGTTCGTTTTACGGTGTTCGCTTTTATTGTGTTGTTCGTCGGGCTGTATATTGCTTCATATTTAAGGTTGTGTTATGTTGTTGTTGTTGTGTTACGGGGCACACTGGGATGTGGAGTTCTTTATTACTGCGTTGCGTTATGTTGTGTTGTAGGTTAACAGCCGGGCCGGCTGCAAGCTATGTGGGAGGGGGTGATGTAGAGGTGATACGCGCTGGGATTAAGGATCGTATGCACAGTGCGTGATGATTGGCTGTGTAGGTGGTGACGCGCGCTGACGGTGGAGGATCAGGGGTCAGCGCGGGGTCGTGGGTTACGGGGTACCGATTGGCTGTGGGCGGTGACGCGCTGAGAGGGAGTGATCAGGTGGCAGCGCAGTGTGATTGGGGGAGTAATGTTAACACGCGCTGGGGAAAGCGGATCGTAGAGAGAGTGCGTCGTGATTGGGTCATTAAGGAACGACGCTCACGTCGACGCCGCATCAGCTCCGTCCCTCGTGAGCAGGGGCTATAAAAGGGGATGCACACAGGCGTAATAAAAGTGTGTAACCAGCGAAGAAGGAAGACGGGGATGAAGACCTAGAGCCCTGCGGTACCTAGCCCCGCTGTCCTAAGGGGACCGGGACTCTGTGTAACCCAGAGGCGAGTGTAGTGGGTGTAGCCATAGGTCTACACGAGCCGAATGTACTATGTGTAGCCAGGGCATAGGGCTTACACGAGTCGAGTGTATTGTGTAGCCAGAGGCATAGGGCTTACACGAGTCGAGTATATTGTGTGTAGCCAGAGGCATAGGGTCTACACGAGTCAAGTGTATCGGGTGTAGCCAGAGGCCTAGAGCTTACACGAGATTAGTGGAGTGTGTCGGAGGAAGAAGAGAGACCACACGTTGTATTGTGATACCTAAAGGATTTAATAAAAGTGTGTTACCCGTCAAGAAGTTCCTGCCGTCAATTCCCATACTTCACATGTAATGTCGCACCACTTGGGGGAAGGAGCCAGAGCTGGTGGAGGAGGTGGAAAGGTACCGACTAGACGTAGTCAGTCTCATCTCCACACACAATATTGGCACTGGAACCAAACTTCTCGATTGGGGGTGGTCTCTCTCCTATTTCGAAGTAACCCTGGGTGAGAGCCCCGTGCGTGTGTGATAGTGAATCACGAGTTGAGTTCTCGAACAAAGCTCTTGAATTACAGGTCAATCTACATTCCCACCCTCACATATGGTCAGGAGCTTAGGGTAATGACCAAACGGATGAGATCGCGGGTACAAGGGGCCGAAATTAGGTTTCTCCGCCGGATTGCCGGACTCACTCTCCGAGGTTGGGTGAGAAGCTCGGTAATCCAGGAGAGCCTCAGAGTCGAGCTGCTGCTCTTCTAGATCGAGAGGGAGCTATTTGAGATGGGGCCGGCACAGGATATACTGGCGCGAATATGTCGCTCAGCTGGCCTGGAAATACCTGGGAAATCCCCAGGAAGAGCTAGAGTTATTTGCCAAGGAAAGGGAGGTCTGGACAGCCATACTCAACATGTGTGGGGGCCGTTGGCCCCCGGGGTCCCTCCCGCCTTCATCCCCTATTCCGTTTACGTTACCCCACCTCCCTATTACCCGCTACGGTTTCGCCGGCGTTCGAACGCGACGCCCCTACTGTTACAGCCCCGCGCCGCGCTCCCACGCTGCGAGCATACGTGCGCACAGCATCATCAATCAAACGCCATACTCCCCCTCTTTGCACCGCAACGTACAGCTCTCGCACGCTGCGAGCGTGTGCCCGTCTATAGCCCTGTGCGGCACTCGCCCCCACGTCGAATAACCACGTTACCAATGCGCATCCGTATCCGACACGTAACGAACATATGCGCACTCACGCACACAGCTCCCCGCGGCATTCACTCACCACTGAATACTCGCGTTATGACCGCGCACCTGTATCACACACGGGGTGAACACACGCGACACCTACTCTCGCACCGCTCTGCGCAGCGCTCCCCCGAGGCGAGCCGCAGCACTACAGAACCACGGTGTACACACGCTCACCCGCGCGCTCAGCTCCGCGCAGCGCTGCACTCACGTGGCGAACCACTGTGCACACAGCGCACCCACACGCTCACGCTGCTCGACAAGATCACGCGAGACCACGCTTCGCTATTAATGATTTATTATATGCTACCTGCGAATTGATGTTGAATCAGTGAGTCGACGAGGCTGGCCTATTCCACCCAAACCTGTACCTATTCCCTATTTATCGGCTATTATCCTACTTCACCTCCCCACTCACTGTTTGGTGCCCGCGGAGGTTCGCTGCTCTCTGCGCTAACAGCGTACCTCGATGCGTCCCACGGACGTTCGGGTCGCTGGCTGGAGCTGCTGCTGGTCCGCTGGCCTGGAGAGAAGAGCGAGATTTCCCCTCTGCGCCCCTCTATTTATCCTCCCTACCTCAAAGGGGATGCTGCGCTGAACAATGGGCTCGTGCACCTCGAGCCCGCGCACGGCGGTTCCGGGCGCTTTTGATCTGCTAATCAGTGAGCGGCGTTGGCGGCGTACATCCTAATTAATCCCTTACCCTTCCTGACAATGGGGCCTGCGCACTCAAGCGTAATTATCCCAACCCTCCATGACTATGCGCAACAGCTCCTGCGGTCCCGCTATTCATGCTGTCCCGTCCCTCTCCTGCTTGCCCCGTCGACCCGTGGGGGTGTGTGTGGGGGGAAATGCGCCTCAACCGCGGTGGCCGAATGCCCCATGCCGCGACCACACCATATTAAGGCTGGTCGCAGCGCCGCGGCGCAACGTAGCACGGGGGAGGTCGTCCAATTCTATGATCGCCGGAAACCGTGAGAGTTAACCCCGATAAGGGTTTCTCGGATAAAAACCGGTCGGCCAGGTGACCTCCCCTCGGAGCTCTATGGGGGGGGGGGGGGGGGGGGAATGCGGGTGTGTTCGTGTGAGGTGAGGTGAGGGGGACGCGGGGTTGGCTCCGTTGCTTGGTGGTGGCGAGGTCGGGGATTTGGGCGCCTGCCGAACGGCTTCGTGGCGGCGGCATCACACATGCTGCTACCATGACCCTCACCAGGACTGAGAAACGAACGAATGAACATTTACAGAAAACGAATATGTTAAAGAACCCCCTGGGCCTAACGCGTTCAATGTAATGGTTTATTGTGGATTGCTGTTGTTGTTAGGTAACCGAAGATATTCGCCCGTACGAGAGTCACAAGATGAACCACGTGCGTGAAGATTATACTGCCATGTATGAGGCCATTCCATTTGCGGACAAGAAGAGGTTTGAATGTTTTTAACGGCCAACACCACAACATTCTAAAAACGAAGCAGCCTGGAAGGCAATGCTGTTAAAGGTGCCTGGCTCTTTGAGTCTGGGGCGAATTGAACTAAACCATAAAAGTCTAAGACACAACTCTTTGGTTCGTAATGCTTAGTTCCCACCACTCCCCATTCTCATCCCCCATTTCATTATCAGTGTCTTGCCATGAGGCAAAGTATAAATACAGTACCCTCGATTATCCACGTGCAGTTTATCCGAATTTTTAGATTAACCACGCACCTGAGATTATGACTAATAACTCATGAATTTTCCCTTAAGCCCAAATGAATAAACATTGTCATTCATTGTTATTCTTGGAAATGTTCATCACAAGTCACTTGCTTAGACCTAATAAATGTTTCTCCGGTTCATGTGAAATCCACGTGATCACGTCTACGGTACAGTAGTTAAACTAATATTCTTGGTTTTTTCGGTAAAGTCATGGAAATAGAAAACACAAATTTCAATTTTAAACAAATAAAAAAGGAAAAATAATAAAATTATATATAAATTTAAAATTTAAAATAAAAATAAATTGAAAATAATAAAAGCAAAAAACCCACGATGTTTCGATCAGGCGCCTGATGAAGACCGCTTGTGTTGCGATCTAAATGTCGTGGGTTTTTTGTTTTTATTATTTTCAATTTATTTATATGTATTTTTATTTTAAAAAATATTATATATTTTTATTTATATTTTATTGTAAAAAAAATTAGATTTTTAGTTTTCTATTTACGTGACTTTGCCGAAAGAACCAAGAATATGAATTCCAGCAGTCACGAAAGTTAAGTACAAAATTGGATAAACTAACTTTACAAAAGTGGGCTGAGTTTAATGTTAATAGGCGTGGCTCTTTATTTCCACTTTGTGAGCCAATTATTCTGCTGCACGGGAGCCGGAAAGTGTTATCACTGCGCACGCACATCGATATGGGCGATCGTTAGTATTAGTTCTAAATCGATTTTTTATTAATTAATTTAGCTCGTAAAAAAACACTTTCTTTAAGTTTTTTAGCATATACATTTTTTATTTTTGGATTATCCGCGCTTTTTACTTATCCGTGGCCGTCGTCCCCCCATTACAGTGGATAATCGAGGGTCGTACTTTATGTGGATTTGAAATTCTTGCAGAGCAGTGCAAACTACCTCTGTGTTAGAGAATAACCCACAGAAGTATATATTACAGAGCTACTTCCTGATATTCCTTCATGTGACATCCGGCCTTCTCAGTAAGGGCAGCATGTTACCACCCGCACTGCCACTGGGTGTAATGTTCACAGCATAACATTAAAAGCAATATAATACCGGAAACAGGAAGTCTTCTTCACAATTCTGGTAATGGCTTGATGAAGCTGGTTGTTGTTGTAATCACCAGCAAACCGTCAAACTCAAATTGTGAATGTTGCAGTGGGTAAACTCTCTAACACACAACGGGTTAGTGCTGAACTAGTAACTAATTCGCATGTTTTGTGCACGTGACAAACCCTTACTAAATGGTTGTGTCGGGTGGACTTGGATGAACGCCACATTCGTATTTACACGATCTAATCAAAAAAAGTATTTATTATGAATTCCATGAATGTCTGCTCTATGTCTGGCATGCACAAATATCACATGGCCTAACCCAAACAAACAAATGTGGTGTTAAATATTGACTTGAAGCTTTAATGACTGCAGGAATTAATATTATTTGGGTCTTTTGGTAAAGTCACGTAGAGGAGGTTAAAATAAAATAAGAAAAAAAAGTAAAAATTACAACGTTTCGATCGCAACACAAGCGTTCGGCATCAGGAAGAGGGGGTTAGCTTCTAAAAGTAAACTGTTCATAAAGGTTTTGATTTAAAGCTTTCGTGACTGCAGGGATTCATATTCTTGGTTCTTTCGGTAAAGTCACGTAGAAGGGAGATAAGAAAATAATATAAATATGAAACAATAAAAATTCTCACGACGTTTCGACTTAGAACATTTGAAAATTTGAGAAATTTCTGGCTGTGGATTTCACACCTGATGATGATTGCTTGTGTTGCAGTCGAAACGTCGTGAGAAATTTTATTGTTTTATATTATTTCCCTTCTACGTGACTTTACCGAAAGAACCAAGAATATGTTTATAAAGGTTTGAAATGGACGTAGCCCAAATGTCAGCAGCCAATGTTAATGTAAGTGGTGGGCAGCGACAGTGGTAGGTTTTTCCACCAATCAAAGGGCTGCAAAGTAAACATTTGCATGATAATTTAAGATCGTTGAGCGGCCTCCACGGCGGGCGCCCTGAGGTGACATTTGGGCTACGCCCATTTCAAACCTTTATAAACAGTTTACCTTTAGAGGCTAACCCCCTCTTCCTGATGACGAACGCTTGTGTTGCAATCGAAACGTCGTAGTTTTTTGTTAGTTTCTCTGAACCTATCTATGTGACTTTACCGAAAGACCCAAAGAATATAAATGTGGTGTTAGTTTCTTGAATTTTGTTGATATCAATTCATTAAATTCAATTCTAGATTTGAAGTTTTCGTGACTGCAAGGGTCCATACTCTTTGGTCATTAAATTCAAGTTTAGTAAAGCACGCCAGTTGTGTTCGATGGCAGAAGTTGCGTGTTATTACGTAGGTTTTGTTGGTTAACTTTACAATTTAGGTTTTTAGCAATGCAATAGAAAGCCGGTTCTACTGGTGCTGACAGGCGAGTAACATTTTTCTTTAAGGAGAGTTAATAATATCGACATTCCGGGTTTCTTTAAATCATCCGCAGGCTGGAGAGCATCAGGATAATTGGACTCGTCAAGCTGCCGGAATTAATGGGGTTTATCGGCAGCTTCGCCGAATACCAGGCGCTGAAAGCTGAAGATCCTCTTGCTGCACAGGCCTTGATGGAGGACACCGAGAAAAGGTAAGCTCCAGTAATAATAGTTTTTCATAGATTATATTGGCACATGATTATCCAGCTTCTTCCAATACTATCCAGCGATCCCAGGCCGATCCGACAAAACAGACAAAACCACTCCATTTAAAAAAAAACATATCCCAATTACCTAAGACATGTTCTTCAAGAACGCTATTTTAAATAATGATTTAGTGATTATCTGGCTTTTTTTTAATACGACACCCCCTTCTCCCCGAAGCTGCCAGATAGTTGATGATCGACTGTAAAACTGATCTTTATTTATAGAGCACCGTTTATACCATAAGGTTCAAGGCCACTTTGACCACACATCTTCATCGTTTTCGTCGTCACAAGCCATGGGCAGATGGCCCGAGACTCTACTCGAATGAGAAGGATGTGTGGATTGTAATGGGGAGGCTTCCCTGGTTCGTTCGTTTTCTTCAGTGGCTCGTGAACTGTAATTGGCCTACCCATATTTATGTAGGTATTCATTTAAGTGTGAATGCACACATACGCAATTCAAGCACTTTATCATATTGTTTTGTAATATCTTTGAAAAATGATCTACACCCGATTGTACACAACTGAGTCGCTTAGATGTGGACGTCTCTGAAACCGGTTGCTGCTCATGTGCAGACGCATAAGCAACCCTAAAGCGTCGATCTGCTCAGCAATTTGCAGCCACGTGTTTCATCGCATGCTTCACGTTGTGCTAACTGTAATTGGGTGTTACAATCCTGACGTGAGGGGGAGGGTGGAACTTAAAGGGGGCGGGACTCTATTGTAAAGTGGCGTAGCCAGATGCGCTTTAGCCACGCCTAGACACAGCGTGTTTGTCACACAATTCCTCGCTCAGACGTGGACAAAGCAGCTGCAAGCGATTGATGAGAGCGATTTGGATTTTGTGGTTCCGGCTTCACAGACGTATCACTGATCCATACACCAATGAGTATTGGTCAAATGGTCTACTCGTTGCATTTCAGAGTAAAAGAGACTCTAGGTGACGCGGCAGGCACTGCTGAAATGAAGATCGTGGTGAAGACCGTTCTGCTGCTGGCCTGCAACAACTCTCAGAGCTCATAATGACACTGCTGTGACCGAGCGTTCGAAGCCACCTGTTTGTAGCAAACAATACAGGGACTCCTCTGCTTAGGAACCTTTGACTTAAGAACTTTCATAGATTCGACGAACGAACCGTGTTTAGTGTACATGCCGTACAACATGTTTGGAATCGACAGGAGTAAAGTTGGACTTATAAACAAATCAATTTACAAACATAACTCTGGAACCTCACTCGTTCGTAAGTGGAGAAGTCACTGTGGTGTCGTTTCAAATAAAGCAACAGCAGGGATTGCAGATGTGATTGTCTGTGTCATTTACTTATACTTTTGGAGTCGTCTGGAATGCATTTTCACGCATTTTAAGGTATAACTCGATTCTAACGTTTAGTAATTTATGAGATCCATTGAACAAAAATGAGTCACCACATCGCATGGCTCTTTAAGATGCACTTCTGCGGTCACCTGGAATGCTCTTTCTTCCGATATTAGAAAACCACTGGAGCTATTTACTTTTAAATAATCTGCATTGACAAACTCATTTATTTGGAGTGATTGTTTTGTTTAGTTTGTTTTCCTTCCCCCACACCTACAATTTAGCATAGTTGGCTACGTACAGTGCAAAAAAAGTTCAACAAACATACAAATGTGGTCATGGGATAGGTCTTGCATTGTGCCTCGTTATTCCCATTAAATCACAAGAATCAAAATATGTATTTATACTGGAGGAGGAATCCGATAGGCTGTGAAGGTATTTTTCACAAATGTCCAGTAGGGGCATGGGGTCAGACAGATACAACAAACAATATCCACACACACGATAGGAGTGCAAAATATAAGACAGGTAAACCAATCACTTTACAAATTTATACAAATAAGCGTAAACAAATGTGTATCTTACCAGCTAAAGTCCACTGAGCTATTAGCTTTTTTTAGAAGCGACGTGTCCACATGATAGCTCAACGAAGTAACTTATCATTGTGTGGAAATTTACAGCGGAAAAATACTATAAATGCATCTTTCTTAATGTGTGTCAGGAGATACACAAACTCCATATATACAGCTGGCGTCAGGGTGGGGATCAATCCCACGAACTCCTGCATACCAGGCGAGGAAGATAACATCATACCACCGTGGCGCCCCTTGAATAAACACGTAAGAATGTCATAAAGTACAGAAGTTCGAATTGGATTGGTAGATAAATTCCAACACAATACCTCAAAATCAAGTCAGTAGTGACTGCACGCAAGCTTATCTTCAGAGCGTATCAACCAATCTCCAAGCGGGTGTGAGTCACAGACAATGGCTAAACCCATTGCCATGCAAATTAAGGTGGTGAGAATGGCAGAGGACGAGGTCTTGGCCTTTATGACGAACAACGACCTTTCTCCTTCGAACGGCATTTAAAAGGACATTTTGTTCAATGCGGTTTCATACAACTGCGCAATCAATTGATTGGTGAGTTGCTAGATCAGTGGTTTTTAACCTGGGGTGCGAAATGCCCTTTCTGGGGGTGCAAGACATGCCAGATTTTTTAGAAGGTACATTTCCGAAGCACAAATTAAGCACGGGGCAGGTAAGTGCAACTGCTTTGTTTCATCAAACCTATGTATTTATTAACATACATTCTTTTTACGAATGAGAACCAAATGGTTGCAAGTATGCAGTAAAGGTTAAGAAGCACTGCACTAGATGGCATCAGGAGTTGGTTGATGCGTCTATAGTGGCAGGGTTCATCTTCTTGGTTCTTTCGGTAAAGTCACGTAGAAGGGAAGTAATAAAATAATAAAAATAAAACATAATAAAACAATTCTCACGACGTTTCGGCCACAACGCAAGCAGCCGTCCTCAGGTGAAAACCAGGTCCGTCGAGGCGACAGAGTCTGAATGAAACAGCACACGAGCTTGGAGCATATATATAAGCTGGGCGCATTGACAAAGGAATTTGCATATCAAAAGGAATTTAGCATATTTATGGGAAATGCAGGAATGTGATTAGTACTGCATATGCATGTGCATTATGCAGGATTAACAGCATCAAAGGGAGCTGCAGTTACTGCTGCTGCTGCACTTGCTGCTGCTGCTGCAGTTGCTGCCTTATCCATTTTAATATAACACTATGTATTATTCTACCCACCCTAATGTGTATCATACTGCTATATGTTTACTGTACAATTACGACACCATACATTACTCTGCACACTGCACCATGCCAGTGAGTGGAACGTGGTCTGAAAGTCACCGTAAACGTGAACACAATCAGTTAAGATCCGAAATGGTTTATTACGTCCTTCCAATGATTGCTAAGCCAGAATCCATCTTCTCGGTTGAAATTGTCTCTGTGTTTGTATATGTGGATCGCCTCATGAACGAATCTCTCATGATAGCCAGATGGCTTGCAGAGAACCTCTGTCTTGGAGAAGTCAATGTCATGTGAGCCCACTGAATTGTAACAGTGATCTGCCACGGCTGAGGTGTTTGTCCTACCGTGTTTAAGGTCTGCCTTATGTTCACGGATGCGGTCCGAGACATGTCGTTTGGTTTCTCCAATGTAACTGCTACCACAGAGGAAACTTAGTTTGTAGACGCCAGATCACTGTTACAATTCAGTGGGCTCACATGACATTGACTTCTCCAAGACAGAGGTTCTCTGCAAGCCATCTGGCTATCATGAGAGATTCGTTCATGAGGCGATCCACATATACAAACACAGAGACAATTTCAACCGAGAAGATGGATTCTGGCTTAGCAATCATTGGAAGGACGTAATAAACCATTTCGGATCTTAACTGATTGTGTTCACGTTTACGGTGACTTTCAGACCACGTTCCACTCACTGGCATGGTGCAGTGTGCAGAGTAATGTATGGTGTCGTAATTGTACAGTAAACATATAGCAGTATGATACACATTAGGGTGGGTAGAATAATACATAGTGTTATATTAAAATGGATAAGGCAGCAACTGCAGCAGCAGCAGCAGCAAGTGCAGCAGCAGCAGCAAGTGCAGCAGCAGCAGCAAGTGCAGCAGCAGCAGCAAGTGCAGCAGCAGCAGCAAGTGCAGCAGCAGCAGCAAGTGCAGCAGCAGCAGCAAGTGCAGCAGCAGCAGCAAGTGCAGCAGCAGCAGCAAGTGCAGCAGCAGCAGCAAGTGCAGCAGCAGCAGCAAGTGCAGCAGCAGCAGCAAGTGCAGCAGCAGCAGCAAGTGCAGCAGCAGCAGCAAGTGCAGCAGCAGCAGCAACTGCAGCAGCAGCAGCAACTGCAGCAGCAGCAGTAACTGCAGCTCCCTTTGATGCTGTTAATCCTGCATAATGCACATGCATATGCAGTACTAATCACATTCCTGCATTTCCCATAAATATGCTAAATTCCTTTTGATATGCAAATTCATTTGTCAATGCGCCCAGCTTATATATATGCTCCAAGCTCGTGTGCTGTTTCATTCAGACTCTGTCGCCTCGACGGACCTGGTTTTCACCTGAGGACGGCTGCTTGCGTTGTGGCCGAAACGTCGTGAGAATTGTTTTATTATGTTTTATTTTTATTATTTTATTACTTCCCTTCTACGTGACTTTACCGAAAGAACCAAGAAGATGAATCCCTGCAGTCACGAAAGCTTTAAATCGAAAAGTGGCAGGGTTCTTTATTAATTTTTAGAGTAGGGGGGTAGCCACTTTCACCGGGCTTGTGATAGCAGCACGATGATGATAGGGGCGTTCTCACTGTTTGTGTCTTGTCAGGGGCCATACTAAACGCCACCAGGGGCCGCCAGAGGCCCGTGGTGGCCTTGCAATGAAGAAGACTGAACTTCAATATACACTAAACTACTATATGCTATTCATTACGACATACTACTATATACTACTATACAGTACGATAGACTACCCTACTATATACTGGATCCGCAGCTTTCTTTACCAAAATATAAGCTACGCCTTAACTTGTGGGAGCAATAAGTCTAACGCGTGTTTGAGGTGTCTTGAATCAAACTATTTTTTTTATTTCTTAGTTGCACAAAAATTAGCGATTTCTAAAGTTATATCTTCGCCTGTTCAGGTACTGTATCACGTTGTTGCACGGTCAAAGACTGTCCACTCGCTCCCCTCCCGGGACACCAGAGGGTTGTGGAATAGCAACTCTTTATTTCCCAGTGTTCTTCTGAGGAGTATCGTGTATCTGTACAGCATTCATTCGAATCTGAATAGCTGCCCTGTATCCTGAATTGATTACTCCACTGGTGGGCGTGGCCTACTTTGCAGTCACGTGAGTTTATGGGTCCATGGTCATCATTAACTATTCATAATTATTATAAGTGTGATTCATTACATTAGGGCCCATACCGGCTACATAAACAAAGCCAATTGAGGTCTAAACCCGCTCATTAATGGGACGTTGCTGAATGGATGAGGACGTGGCTCAGCCCCACTTACGAGCACGCAGATTGGCCGAAATTGGCGCCACCACGTGCACACAACGCAAACATGATACCGTTAGTCAACATTTGTGCCGTTCTTTCGAAACCATGAGTGTCACTATGGGAGACGAAACGTTAACTGCAAAGACCGTAAACCGATGTCACTGTAAACCGAGGGACTATCTATGTGTTTAGAATATATTTACAGTAGATCATCGCATGAAAAAATTATAATAGGTTTAACCCTTTCTGGCAAGCAAACAGGTGTCTGCATTAACCACAGGTACTTGTGGTGAACATGCAAAAAAAACATGCTTTGATAATAATATATGCATTGTCTTTTAAACGGATTGGTCTATGTTGTATATGCCGGGTCTTGAAAAATGTATAAATATAATACAAAATTAACGAAAATGGAAAAATGCGTAATTATCCGAATTTATGCAAATGTATGTAAGTGTGCGCATACACTATGCTAATTAGGAAGGTGTATTCATATTAAGTAAATGCGTGTGATTATGATAATACATGGTGTTATGATAATTAGGCTCTGCATAGTTGTCTAGGGTTGTATTATCAATCGGGATAATACAATTATTCTCACTTTAACATTTACTGATTGTGTCTTAGTGTTTTTATGTCAGGTCTCCAAATTCAAATCTCAACGCAGGATACAGGTCTTATAAATAAGATAATTATGGATGAACTCAGGAAGGAACCACTCAGACTCTTCTGTGTTAAGCTTTCGTGACTGCAGGGATTCATCTTCTTGGTTCTTTCGGTAAAGTCACGTAACTTTACCGAAAGAACCAAGAAGAAAAAAACATAACACTCTAATATACGAATTCCTATGCTTGGAATTGTCACAATACTCCTGGAGATGTTCTCC